TCTCTCTTTTCAAAAAACAAGGCTTTTTGTGCTTGCATTAATCTGTAATGTATTTGTTTTAACTTTTGATAACACTTGATAAATTAAAAAAATAATAATAAAACCAAACAATATTCTCCTATTAGTTCTTTGCCACAATCTTGTCCTTTTGGCTACAAATTTTTCCATTCTTTTTTTCTTTTTTTAAGGTTCACTGACAATATTTGATCTATGGGCAAGAAGTAGCAAAGTTGTTTTTGCCATTAAGTTATACCCTGCTGGTGCAACCACAAATTCTCAGGAAGGTGTCACAGACCTATTGGGAAAATGTTCGCTTGTCCTTGAGCAGATGGTTGAGTACAACATGCCTTTGCTGGTAATTTTATTATTTTCTCTTAACTTTTTGTCTAAAAGTCTCTGAGGCTTGGGGAAAAGTCTTAGTTATTAATTTTAGCATATGTTGGAAGCCAAAGTTTGAAATAGTGATGCCTGTGATCCATGAAGGAATTTCCCAGCATAGCTTAATGTTTTTGGCAAGAGTGCCCATATCTCCTTTCAATATCCAGAAATGGAACATGTTCTAAATAATTTTGGTCAGCTTAACTTTGCCTTATATGATATATGTGCCCTTTTGGGAACCAAAGATGGCTGTCTTTCCATCAACTTAATGCTAGTGAAGCTAAATGCAGCCCTGGTTACTTTCAGTAGCACATTTAAAAATTATGTTTGTATTCTTTGTTGTTTGTTTTTGTATCTCAACCTGGTGACAATTCTTTGTATGATTTGTATGATGTGGATTATTACTATTTCAATAACAGGTTCATGGGGAGGTTACCGATCCCAATGTTTATGTTTTCGATTGCAGGAATACTCTTCATCGACACTGTTTTGCAACCTTTAATCCAAAGGCTTCCAAAGTTAAAAGTTGTGATGTAGCATATCACCACCATGGATGCCGTTAGGTTTGTTGAGTCTTGTGAAGAAGGTATGCCTAAATAGTATATTCCAGAGGAGTTTTACTACTTATCTGACATTTGAGGAGTTTTACTTTTTATCTGACATTCTTTTCTTCTATAGGTCTTGCCATAACCATTTAACTTTCTTCCTTTCAGCCCCTTTAATCTCACTAGTTCATTTCCTTAGGATTTGTAGCTGCAACTGTTACTCCTCGACATCTTCTTCTTAACAGAAATGTTCTCTTCCAAGGACGACTGCAACCACACAACCACTGCCTTCCAGTGCTCAAAAGAGAAATCCACAGTATGTTTCTTTTCTTGTCTTCCATGGAGTTATATATATGAATTGTCTCTCATGTCGAGACTATTGGATTGCATTTTTGTTTTCAATTTTTAGCAACATGGTGTAGCTAAGGATAAGGATTTCAAATGCTTCTTTTCCAAATAATGTGACACAGAACAGATGTAAAAGGATTATTTTGCTTTCTAATTGTTGGAATACAGAAATATATTGCTCGTTTGAGTAACTCATGAACAATTGAACGTGGGAAGCATCATTCCTTGCTCTGATATGATAGCAAGGGATATTGTCCATCATTTTCCTTTTTCTTTTGCCCTGATCTTACTCATTATTCTCTTATCTAGGACAGGCTATTGTTTCAGCAGTGACTAGTGGAAGTAAAAGATTTTTCCTTGGAACTGATGGTGCTCCCCATGAGAGACGAAGAAAAGAATGCCCTTGTGGTTGTGCTGGCATTTATAATGCCCCAGTTGCCTTAGCCTTATATGCAAAGGTCTTTGAAGAGGTATATTTTGTCATCATCCTATCCTAAGATGTTACTTATATAAACGGCCTCTTTTATAAAGAGTTTGTCTGCTTATTTTAGGTGGGTGCACTTGACAAACTAGAGGCATTTACAAGCCTTAATGGTCCGGACTTCTATGGTCTTCCAAGGAACACATCAAAGATTAAATTGATCAAGACTTCATGGAAAGTTCCAGAGTCTTTCTCATTTTCATTCGGTGATATCATTCCTATGTTTGCAGGTGAAACACTAGTGGCAAGCATCCTCCTCATAACTCGTAAGTCAGTTTTTACAAACAGACTATAATTTCAAATTATTTCTGGTCATGCCTGCATGGTATGTTGATTGCTGACAGTGTGAACTTGTATTGTTTTCAAACTAGAGTTGAAGCAAACAAACTTTTGTTACTTTTTCAAACAACCTTACATTAGATAATGATATGCAGCTCGGTGCAAATTTTTGGTGGTTTGCTTTATGTTGTGGAATGTCTAATTAACATCACACGTTTTATTAATTTGTTGGTTTACAATTAGAACTCTAAATCAAAAGCCTAGAAGGCAGACAGAAAGGAGGAAAACAACAATTGAAAAGTCCTCTTATGACACTTATAGTTGCTGGTAAGAACGTAACCTGAATAAATTATTAGTATGCTATGTATTCACTAATTCAGATGAATGAAATAGCACCAAGAAATTAAAATATAATCCTTCAAGTAGTTGTAAAATATATATGGAAGATATCATAGGGAGGTAAAAGTTTCTCTACGCCACAAATACGTATAGCTCCCTAGGGGTTTTATAAAGGTGCAGCATGGGAAGTGGATCTCTTAACTATTAAGGACTCGAGAGTCTTAAAATCTCAGATTTAAACTTATAAATGGATGGAGAGAAATTTTAGAAAAGTGATGGCTATCATTGTATTTTTCCTTTTTCCCTTATCAGCATGGCTATCATTGAATAACCTACCAGACATAGGATTCATCAGCAGTATGACATGTTGATCATAATTTGAGGCGTCAGAGTATTCATACCGATTCGTATGAGTCCTAGTGAAAGAAAAATGTTCTCATTTTATTATTAATTTGTATATGCGTTAAAATTTCATTAGTTTGTTATGCCACATAGAATATATATATATATATATGTATATATCTATATATTTATTGCAGCACTTCAATATATGCATAAGAAAATGTTAAGCTTACAATGTTATGTAAAATTGTAAATTTTACAATCATGATATGTCATTGTATGATCCACTTTTTTATTCGAGAGGCCTTACGTAATACTATATGCATTCACTTGTTTAATGTCACATTATCATTACAAATTTACAATTTTATATGACATTGTAACTATAAATTTAGATGGATATTTTTTATTACTCAATTTTTTTTCCACTGGCCAGTGATAAATTCAGCAGTATCTTGGGAATACTTTTAGTCAACAGGAAATCATAAGCTATATTTATTTCAAGTAACTTGGTCTAACATCAAAAGTACAAGTTCAATTTCAGGAAAAAAAAAAAAAACTAGAAATAAATAGAGTATCAAACAAACTAGAACGCTTGAGCAATCAAATCAAACCGTATGTAGAATTATTTATGGAACTAGCTGATGGGAATTAGATTCTACGACCAACGAACTTGTCTTTAATTGCGCGCAATTCTGCAATGGCTTCTTTCATCTCCATTCTTTCATTTGGTGATGCCATTGAGCAGAGTACTCCTACCCTTGCCACAGCAACCAACCTCTCCAACATACAAACTTTCGTTCCTCGATTCCTTGCGCCTGAATGTGCATCATCTTGTACCTCCTGCAGCAGTGAAGGCTCTAAAATATCCATCACCCTCTCAGGAAGTGCTGTTTTAACAAACTGGTGAATGGTGAAATTGTCCTGGAATAATGAATCTGTTGGTCGTTTTCCTGTAATCATCTCCAACAAGAGAATTCCAAAGCTGTATGCATCTCCAAGTTTGGATGTCTTGTTGCTCAAGCCATATTCTGCATTAGGAAGGGAAAGTTGTGTGATATCATTGATTTATCATGTTAAGTATAAATGCCAACACAAAGAAAAAATTAAAAAGATTGAAATATACAAAGATAGTTAAAACAATTACCTGGGGCTATGTAGCCAATTGTTCCTTTTACACCAATGGAACTACTTTGTTGACGATTAGAAATGGATAGAAATCTTGCAAGACCAAAATCTCCCACGTGAGCAACAAAGTCCTCATCAAGTAGAACATTGCTTGGCTTAAGGTCTCCATGAACAATTGATGGTTGGCAATGATCATGAAGATATTCAATTGCAAAAGCCACTTCGATGGCTATATTAAGTCTTTGAATAAGGTTTAAACTATGCTCACCAGCTTGGTCTTCATTTGGATGCAACCACATCTCTAAGCTTCCATTGTGCATGAGTTTGTAAACTAAAGCCTTGAAATCAATCCCTTTGAAGTCTATACTTGAGCAAACAGTTATAATCTTGACTAAATTTCGATGTCGAATATTTTTCAGCACTTCACACTCAGCCATAAAACTCTTGGAAGCTCCTTTCTGCTTGAGGTTTAGCACCTTCACTGCCACTGACATTTGATCCTGACCTAGAATTCCTTTGTACACGGAGCCAAAACTTCCCTCACCAATCAGATTAGATGGTGAGAACTCATTGGTTGCCTGACTCAACTCTGCATAAGATATCTTCGGAAATTGTCCTAGCTCTAGCATCATGGTAGAAGCTCTCCTTTTAGATCTCCTCTTCCAACAACAAAAAGCAAGAGAGGTTATTATAATGCTTAAGCTAAAGATAATTATTGGGATCACCACTTTCAGAGTCTTAGACAACACTTTCTTCTTCAAGTCTTGGGCCTTGCACAGAGGGAGTCCCAGTTTTTGAATACCTCCACATAGTTTTTGATTTCCAGCAATTGAAATGGCACTTGCATTTTTAAATACTCCTCCTTGTGGTACTTCTCCTTCTAGTCTGTTAAATGACAAATTCAGATTTTGCAACAAAGTGAAATTTTGGAGGAATTTGGGAATTTGACCAGATAAATTGTTTCTTGAAAGATCAAGATGTACAAGGCTTTTCAAAAGACTTAGAGAGGGTGGGATGTCTCCTTCTAATAAGTTCTCTTCCATCCAAAGATCCTCCAACATCAAACAATTTCCCAAGGTGCTTGGAATTTTTCCTGACAATCTATTTTGTGAGACTTCAAACCCCACAAGATTGGTCATGTTCCCAACCTCTAAGGGCAATTGTCCTATAAAAGAATTCTCGCTCAAAGAAAGGATTATGAATGAAGATAAGCTCAAGAGCTGTTTTGGTAAGTCTCCAATAAGGTAATTTTTACCAAGGTAAAGATCTAGAAGTTGAGAACAATTTCCTAAGGTGATAGGAATTGTACCTGTCAAATTATTTTTTTCCAAATCCAATGTAAGCAACTGGGTGATATTTCCAAGTGATGATGGGATTGGCCCAGAAATTCTATTCTGACCTAGAGCAAGAATAGACAACTTTTCTAATTTGACAATACTAGAAGGGATTTCACCTCTAAGATAGTTTGTGTCTAGTTGCAAATAGGTTAAACCAATTAGGTTGCCAATCCCCTCAGGGATTTTACCTGAAATCTGATTGTTTGATATGGAAAAGAATTTAAGGGCAGTTGAAAGATTGGCAATTGAAATAGGCAATTCACCTTTCAAACGGTTGAATCCTAAATCCAATATTCGGAGGTTGGTGCAATTGGCTAAAGATGTTAAGATCCCTAAACCTTCATCCTTACTTTCCAACCAGTTCCCAGACACTCCAAAAGATGTAAGATTTCTTAAGCCTCCAAGGTTGGAAGGTATGACTCCACCCAAATTGTTAGCTGTGACAGCGAAGGTTCTTAGCAGAGATGCATTTTGTAATGAAGTTGGTAACTCTCCATGAAAGAAATTATAGGTAACAGAAATACCCCAAAGATTAGGAAGTGTAATGAAAATATTAGATGGGATTATACCTTGCAATTGGTTTACTGCCAAGGAAAGCACAGTGAGTGATGAACTATTGAAAAAAGAAACAGGTACCCTGCCCGATAAGTTATTTGTAGATAGCAACAGAATATCCAACTTTGGAGGTCTAACAAGCTCCACTGGGATGCTTCCATGTATATTATTGCTTTTCAAAGCCAATATTTCAAGTGAAGACGCATTCCCAAGCCATTGTGGGATACTTCCAATTAAATGATTTCCAAAGAAGCAGATCCTGCGTACACTTTTTGAAAGATTACGAAGTTCAGTAGGAATTTCGCCAATAAGGCTATTCTCGCTGAAATAGACATCTTGTAATCTTGAGCAAAATGCCAAATTGCTTGGAATTTTGCCTTGAAGGACATTAAAACTGAGACTGAGAAATCTCAACCGAAACAACTGACCAATCTCTTGAGGAATCTCCCCTTTGAAGTAGTTGTGACCGAGGTTGATTTGCCTTATGAATGATAGGTTTCCAATGTGGGGTGATATCAAACCAACCAACTTTTGGCCAGTCAAATTCAAGTTGGTAACTCTACCCTTGTGTCGATGGCTGCATGAAACCCCCCTCCAATTGCAGAAATGGAGAGACTCGTTCCAAGAACTCATGACTCCAAATGGATCTTCAAGTATTTTATCCTTGAAGGCTAACAATGCTAGCTTGTCAGTTTCATTTTGAGGGGGTAAGGCAGTTGCCAGGGGAGTTTGAAAGCCAAGGGCTAGGTGGTTTAAGCAAATGGGAATGACGAGAAAGAGTGACACAATAGCCAAGAAGGGAAAATTCAGAGCTGCCATCATTTGTATTAAGTGCAGAACAGAGAAAGAGAGGTGGGTGTGGTTTAAGCCAGCAAACTGGCCTCACCATTTTATACAAAATCTGAGTGCGCTTAAGCAAACACCCACATACACGTTACTAAAAGTAAGTGGAAATTTCGTTCTAGCGAATAACTTCTACCACGGGCCACGTTAGAGCCATTTAAGTCTATGCTGCAGAAATCCTAAAGAATTTCTTGAGTGGAGCTAATTAACTTTTTAACTTCTAAGAACACACTAATTCCAGAAGCGTCACCGTTTCATTCCTTAGAAAAGTTATGTGTTTTGAAATCGATTGGCACCTAAGAAATGGGGACGACATACTGATTTTTAGATTTGTTTGAAACACAATCGCTTTACCATTTACAGGGAAAAAGAACCCAATTACAAGAAAAAGAATGCAGTGTTATAATAGTATGTGTTAAATGGAAAGAAGAAAATGGAAAAGTGGCGTTCAAAGTTGCAAGAGGAAAAGGGACGTTCATATGGAGAAAGTACATAAACCATGCTGAAAATGCATGTGAATTATGTGAATTATGCATGTAAATCCGACACAATAGGCAAAGAAGAAATTGGAAAAGTGGCATTCAAAGACGTGAATCATGGAAAAAAAAAAAAAAAAACCATGAATGATACTAAAAGTGATTTGTATTTATAATCTTTTACTTAGAATAAAATAAGATTACCATTAAAATTATTGGTAATTATGTTGAAAATCTTAGTATGTCATGGAAATAGTTAAAATTTTCAATAAATCTAAAATACTAAGTGATTCTTTTAAAATCTTTAATGAATTACTATAAATATCCATTGAATCTTTGATCTCAAATCAGATGGAAGTCTTGATAGCTTGAAGCTCATATAGTAGCCAAAGGCTTTAATAAAGTTGAAGGTGTTAATTTTTTGGAGACATTTTCACCAGTCGATAAACATGGCAGTATTAGAACTAACTTCATAGTAGCAACCATAAAAGGCTAGGAAATTCAACAATTGGATGTTAATGCATTCTTACAAGGTGTTCCTACCGAATCAGTCTTCATGGAGCAACCCCCAGGCTTTCGAGACAAATTACAACCGGACTATGTGTGCCGACTCAAAAAGGTATTGTATGGGCTTAAATAAACACCAAGAGCTTGGTTTGACCATCTTCATTTTTTCTTGCAGGGATTAGGATTTTTTTGCAGTGTCGTGGATCCCTCGCTCTTCATCAATCACTCTGACCATGGAAGAATTTTGTTGCTCCTTTATGTTGACGAAATGGTAATTATAGGTGACAACAAAGACTATTTACTTTGGTTCATTGATCAATTACATGCAGAATTTGCAATGAAGGATCTTGGCCAAATCCATTATTTTTTGGGCATTGAAGTTAAGCACTGTGATGGTGGTCTCTTCCTTAACCAACAAAAATATGCTCGTGATCTGTTATCACGTGCTCAAATGCAAGATTGTAAACCAATCTCCACTCCAATGGCATTGAAGTCCCGCACTACATCATTGGATAGTAAGTTATTTCATGATCCACACCTTTATAGAAGTCTGGTAGGTGCCCTTCAGTATTTAACCTTTTCAAGACTTGATCTCTGTTATAGTGTAAATTATGTTTGCCAATTTATGCACGCACCCACGGTAAATCATTTTAAAATGGTAAAACGTATTTTACGATATGTTAAAGTTACAATAGATTATGGAATTCATATTTTTGCTACAAGTACCCTTGATCTATATGCCTTTTCTAATGCCGATTGGGCAGGATGTCCAACAACAAGGCGCTCTACAATTGGATATTGCACTTTCCTTGGAGCAAATTGTATCTAATGGAGTGCCAAGAAACAAAGTACAGTGGCTCGTTCCAGTGCTGAAGCAGAATACAGATCTATGGCCTCTACTGCAGCAGAAGTCACTTGGCTCTCTTACCTTCTCAAAGACATTGGCATACCACTACATGCACCACCTACTCTTTTCTATGATAATCTGAGTGCACTCTACATGACTATCAATCCCATCTTTCATGGTCAAATGAAGCACATAGAGCTCAATTACCATTTTGTTAGAGAAAAGGTGGCTCTTGGCAATCTTGTCACTCGATATACTTCATCCTCTACATAGCTGGCAGATATTTTCACAAAACCATTGGCAAGGAATATTTTTGAAAATTTACGCAGCAAACTGAGACTCTTGCCATATCCCAAGCCCAGTTTGAGGGGGAGTAATGAGAATAATGAAGAATCATCAAGTCAACAGCTCAATCAAGGCCTTAAATCAAGCAACGGCTCCATATCAAGATTAAAATCAAGATGGCAATGGTAGCATGATCCAATAATCAAGCCTTGAATCAATTATTTCTTTATTTTCTATTGTTTCAATTATTACCATGATTTATTTCCTTGTACAGCCTTGTATATACAAATATAAATAGAGAAATTATCTTTTGTCATGAATCAAGAGAGTGAAATAATTCAAATACTCTGTAAACTGTTTTAGTAACTTCTACCACAGGCCATGGTAGAGCCATATAGGTCTATGCTACGGAAGTCTTAAAGCACTTCCTGAGTCAAGCTAATTAACTCTTTAACCTCCAACATCACACTAATCCTAGAAGCGTTACCGTTTCATTCCTTGGAAAAACCAATTGGCACCCAAGAAATGTGGCCGATATATTGATTGTTAGATTTTAGATTTGTTTGAAACACGATCGCATTCTTTTATTATTATTATTATTTTTTTTTTATAAGGACAATAGTTAATAAATTAGTATTGTTAGATATTAGCAACTGGGGATTTGATCCCTAAACTGGGTGAACAACCTACTGACCTCAATAAGGCGTGCGGCCATCAGGCCACTTGGTGGAGTTCAACACAATCGCATTTTTATTTATTTACTACAAGGAAAAAGAACTTTACTGCAAGAAAAAGAATTATGGTGTTATGTTATTATATTAATAAAAATAATTGATATTGTTTTTATTCAACGTATTAATTAATATTCACTTTAGTCATTAAAATTTATAATATTAAATTTTTTGGACATTAATTTAAATTAAAAAATAATTTTTTAATAAATATGTTATAAAATATATTGAACAAAAAAATATATTAATTGATTTTCTTATATTAATGTACAAAAAAAATAATTTATGAATAAACTTTTTATACTACTATTTTATACAATCTTACATATCATTTAAATGATTAATTTTATTTATTTATTTAATATTTATAATATTAAATATATTTACTTATTTATTTTTTTTTTTTGAACTGATTTTACAAGGGGCTAGGTTCGAACCCCAACCCTACGAGAGGGGGGAATGCACCATGAGTGACTATTGTCACTTGACCCGAAGGGCTCAATGCATTTACTTATTTAATTCAATATAACAATTATATAAATATTAATATAAAAAAATTACCCTTATATTACCATCTTAATATATAATATGAAATCCAACACAACAGTCAAAAAGAGAATGGAAAGGTGACAGTACACGTATGAAGTCCGACACAAGTCACACAACAGCCAAAGAAGAAAATGGAAAGGTGGCAATCAAAGGCATGAATCATGGAAGAAAAAAATGACCGGAATGATGTTGTAAATAAATGTTTAATTTTTGTTAATGTTATTTGGGTGAGTGTAATTTTAATACTTTCTTCGTTATTAAATTTTAATAGATTTTTTTAATCCAAAAGTATACTCTTTTTGTTTATTTTTAATTATTTTAATTTAATTTTTTAACTTTTTAAATATATATTAATTTTAGATGAAAATTTAAAAATTTATATGAATAATATTTTAAATTTTATTCTATATATGTAGTGTTGAGTATTCTTATTTAATAAAAAAATTTCACTTTATTTATATAATATGTTAAATTTTTATCTAAAATTTATATTTAAAAATTAAAAATTAAAATTAAAATGCCAAAAATAAATCAAAGGAGTAATAATTTATTAATAAAATTTCATATTTATTTTTAATTAATCCCTACTTAAATTGAACTTCTTATTTAGTTTATATCATAATTATTTTTTAAAGATAAGGGTAAAATAAGAATAATTTCTTTATACAACATTCTAAAAAAATGAACAATTAAATTAGAACTCTTTAAACTAAAAATTAAATTTACTAAAATTAAATAAAAAGAATAATTAATTATTATTTGTCATTCTTGAAGATGAAGCCTTCTAAATACCTATAAATATATTCCATCATTTCTAATTTAATGGTCATAATTTTAGCATACAGGCATACACGCATTTTTTAGAAGTACTTTTTAGTATACAAATAGAAATTGAAATTCTTTTTATGATAAAATGAAAGGATGCTGATACGTACACCCATCTGACAACAAACTCCGTTACACCTAACTTTCATTTCCGTTATCTCCGTTAATATACTTAACTCCGTTCCATCTTCTTCTTTCT